TGTATGTAATCCTTACCGCAATTTGGAGATGGGTACCAACCGCTACTATGGATGAAGAAACTAACTCACAAAGTATCATGCCTTACGTTACCCCAGAAGGGGAGTGGTCAAACGGGACTGTTAGTGCATTTATCAAATTCTACAAAAGCACCACTACCATCCCTGGTACAATGCCTCTAGTACTGCAAACTAGGAGAAAAATAGGCAGGCACCAATTTTGTTCAAACTCTTTTTCCCTAGGAAAAGAGAATGATGATGATGATCCTTGGAACCTAAACATCTCTGAAACACAATTTTATAGCCATCAACTTAACCATGTCAATGGCTTTAAGGCCACTGACAAAATAAAAACAGCAATGCTTATTGGTCTTTGTTGAATTCTTTAGGTGCCACTCTTCTAGATACCCAGTAATCATATCTCCCTGGATCCTCCAACAACCCTCTAGGGGAGGTAATAGCCATTGCCCTCATTTTACAGGTGAGAGAAAAGCTCAGAGGTTGATTACCTTGCCTAAGAGCACACAAGCAGCAAGTAATCCCCAGCCCACCTGATGACCTTTCCCCTTCACTGCCTCTCTTGTCTGGGTCGAGCTTCATTTACAGGCTAACCTGAGCCTCTGTCTGGAACTAGGTCATTGCTACCACCTTTCCTCTTTCTTCTTTCCTGACCATTCTGCTACCAGGAATGATATAAAATACCCTGATGTCACTCTGAGACCAAGGCCTGTATACTAGGCCTGTACATCAAGCAATGTAAGTGAAGCTTACAAAGGAAGGTTTTCATTAAAGGAAGGTTACCAAAAAGGGGAAGCACCAGCTACGAGACAGGACCTAGAGCCTGCTTGCTACCAGACATGGCACAGAAGAGGGGCTACAGAAACATCTCCCGAGCTAAACTGAGGCTGAGAAAATAGAAGGAAACAGTCACTGTGCAATCTGGCCATGTTTTGGCATTTCCTAGCTGCCAGCTAACATGATCATTTTCCCCAAGGAGAAACTAGGTCAAAGCCAAAACCTTGGATGTCCTGCTAACCTACCACTAGACTCAAAGTAATGTTTGCTTAAATGACAGAATGATACAAAAAGGCAGAAAGGGGGATAAGAATAATGATGACCTATATACGTGTCACTTTAGAGAAGCAGTTTTCAACAGGTGTGCCACGGCACACCGATGTGTTGCAAGGATTTAAAAAACTCGCAATATCTGACCAAGCAGGGGGCTGCTGTCTTTCCCCTCAGACTATCAAATTAAAAAATGACAACAGCCAACACAACAATAGCCTTCTGGTGTGAATGGATAACAATTATACTTATATTTTTGTCAGATTGGCAAAATTTTTTGGTGTGCCCCAGAATTTTAGTAATTAGCTTATATGTGCTGTGACATGAAAAAGGTTGAAAATTGCTGCTTTAAAAGGAAGGCAGACTCTCCAAGGTTACCATTTAACAAAGAGCAAGGGTAACCTGTTTGAGCACAAAGACTAGAATTAGGTCTTCCCCCAAAATAACTTTTTTTCAAATGAGAATGCTAGGTTATAATTTATATTTCTTTTTGTGCAACAAATTTGAGTGTCATAAAAATGGTTAAAAAGTCTTCCTATGGTAGCTTTTTCTAAACTTTTATGAACATCTGCCACATTCATTTGAAGTTTAAAAAATTCTGGCACATATGCAAAGGCATAATAAGGTGCCTATAGCTTTCAAGAAAAAATAACAAGACAGTCAAAAATAAGCCTTTTGCTGAATTGCCAGTGAGAAAACTAGTATGCGGGAGGAAACGGGCCTTCCCGAGCTCCTTCTCCAAAGAGCTCTCTCTTCTTTGGCCCCAGGTACGGGCTCCTCCTTCAGTACTATAGCCCATAGTTCCTGGAAGAAATCTCACAGTAAGCATCCCTCTCATCTGAAGGGGAGAACAGAACCACATAAACCCAATCAAAAAGCACAAACAGAGCACTCCAAGTCTGAGCTGAAATCCATAGGAGATCAGAAGACTAAATTCCAAGATTGCTAGTTCACACTGCCTAACACACCCAGGAAATGCTGCTTTGTTCAGAAAGTGTCTTAGTAGGCTTCAAGTGTGGGGTGACTATTTTTCTTTTTCTTTTAGTGCTGACAACATAGGAATTCAGCATGGCATATTCCTCTCCTACTTTAGTTAATTGACAGGGATAAGATTTATCCAGCCTGTGCTTACTGAATATTCTTGCTTAGAGCCTTTCAAAGGCTGAGCAGAGTTGACCTATACCCATTCACCTAAGTGCAAAACTGACTCAAATTTTAGCTTGAAGACTTGTGCATATTTTGCACTGCCTGCTTTACTAACAAAAGGCCTTGTTTTAAATTACTCAGAATCATATAAAAGTAAACAATTTACTCCGTTCATCTTTAATCATGGTGCTGGGCTCTCGGACAACAGTAGTGCCTGCTGGAGGACTCTGAACGTGCTCTGGCTTCCAGCATCTCAAGCACTCCTTCAACCCTTCTTTCCAAAAAGCACCTGCTTGGGTCCTGCTAGGTACTGAGGACACCATGGCAAACGAAGCACAGTCCTCATTCCCAAAGAACTCATTCTCCAAGGGATGGTGAAGAGGAGCAAACAACTATCACCCAGAACAAGAGGTACAGTGAAAGCCTATGAGAAAATAAGAGGATTTCTTAAAAGAGCTAGAGAAGGGTAGGGCTTAACCTCGCAGAGGAGTGGGGATGTGGGCAGGGTCAGGGCTCAGTGAGCACACTGGCTAACAAGGAAGAGTGAGAAGACAGAAGGCTTGACAGTAGTGGAGAGACTGAGAACTCAGGGGCAGCGCAGAAGGAAACAGGAAGGCAGGCTACTAAAGGCAGAGTGACCCAGTGGAAGTCAACCCACTAAATGCTGAGACTATGAACTGAATTTTATATTCACCTTCAGACCTTCAGGACCTAATAAAATGTGTGGAACATAAGAGGCCTTAATTTTGCTTAGCAAATGAATGAATAAGGCTCTATAAGAATCCAAGAAAAGTGAAGAAAATGTTAATGAAGGCAGTAAGGGAAAACAGGCGAGAGACATATCGGAGACTTGGTGACTGTTTAGAAAGAAAGAACAAGGAAGAGGAGCACTCAGCAATGCTCAGTGTGTCCCACTTTGGTGACTTCACAGACAGTGGTGCCATTCACAGGGACTAGGAACACTGGAAGGAGAGTGAAGTAGCTTGGTGTGTCCGTGCGTTTGGGGAACACTGAGTTTGAGACATCTATGGTACACGTAGGTGAAGCTGAACTGGCACTTGACACGCATGGACCTGTGTTCAGAGAGAGGCATGCTACTACTATTAGAATCACAGCTGTAAGTGACTGGCATCACCTTGGTAGCTGAAATAGAAAGCCTCTGACAAGATGCCTTGAGGGCATGAACAGAAGAAAAACAGGGCAAGACAAGAAACTTGGACAATGCGGAAGGTAAAGGGACGTGAAAAGGAATCTGAACAAGCCTTGCTGGAACAGTCTGGTGGGCAGGAGGAGAGACAGAAAGGAGCTGTGGACTCCAACAGACCAAATGGTCTTCGGATTAGTGTTTCAAACTCTGTAACAATTGGCACCAAAGACCTATCAGAAAGTGTTCAATTTAAAATTTTCACACAGGAGCTTTGAATACACCCCCAAACTTGACAAAGGTAAAACACAGAAGAAATCTCTTCAATCTGATCCGAATACATCAGCCGAGATAGTCCGTAAACTGTGTGATGTATGTGCTCAGGGCTGGGTGATGACAAGGAGGAACTGTTAACAGAATGCAGGAGCCACATGGCCGTCCTGTCAAATTAGAAATTTGAGCAGATTTCTGTGGTCTATTTTGATCAAGATTCTCAATGTCAAACAAACAGGTTTTTCGATAACCAACTTGTTTCATTTTCGTAAGCACAATAGCACAGTGTGCAACAGTTAGTGAAGAAGCAGGTGGTCCTCGTCGACGTGAAATGAAGGGAACAGAAGAAGAGAAGTAGCACTTCCTTTAAGACATGCAAAGCATCATCACAGACGGATATGGCTTTAGATTTTCCCTCTGAGAGCTTAGCTCCTGTACAAAGCAGGCAGGCCCCCCAACTCCCACCCCATTTTGCTCTGGTACAAATTTAAGCTCTCTCCTGAAGAGGGAAAAGCTTAGGGTTCAGATCTACAAACCAGTGGCACTTACAAAAGCACAAATAAATCTTGTAAAAGAATTGCTATTTAATTGGTACAGCCATGCAGAAAGCAATCTGGCATCAGATTCGTAGTTTTGACCAAGCATTTCTTAGGGATTTTAGCTAAGGAACTAAGTCAAAATGCAGATAAAACCTTATGCATAAAGATGTTCGCTGAAATGCTATTTATATTAGTGAAAAATCATAAACAACCTAAGTGTCCTACAATAATAGAAAAATGGTTAAGTTGTGATATATCCAAACTGTGGAATGATAGGTAGCAAACTAAAATTTTTTCTTACTGAGAACAAATAAAAACATGTAGAAATCCCCATGCCATAATATTAAGTGACATGTAAAAACATAAAATTATATATAAAACACCTATCAATTATGTACATTTATACAAAATATATATTCATAAAATAAAGGCTAAGAGGAAAATAATAAAATGCTAAATGGCTGAATTTAGAATGGTAGTGCATGTTCTAGTGGTTGAGAATAAACATCATTTTGAAAAGCATATCACTTCCCTTCCTTGTCCAAACCCTTGAGGACCTTTTCGCTCCTGCCTCTTTGAACTTCTTTCCCTCACCCATGAGAACTGACAGTCTCCAGGTGAAGAGGAAAAGCACTGGAACCAAGGGCCCCAGGGAAAGGGTCAAGCTGAGCACCCAGCTCTGTGCAGCTGGGTAGGGGGCACTGTGAGTGAGGTGCTGCTTCCATATGATCTTGCGTGGAGAGTTGTTGTAACCCACAGACCGCATCTTTTCCACTGCCACCTAGCAAAACAAAACAGCGAGTAGAGAGATCTGGGGAGGAAAGGAGCCAACTTACCTCCATTAAACTCAAGTGGATTCCTATGAGGTAGGGCATGGGAGCACTGTGAAGAGAAACAGAGACACATAGCCACTTTAATGTCTGTTGCTTCTGACAGAAAATTACAGATGGTTCACTATTTGGAGAAAAACTGTTTTAATAAACGTATGCACAGTTACATTTCCTTTCACAACAAAAATCCTAATGTGACATTTTGTTCCCAAGCTTTGAAACGTCAGAAGAATTTCAAACTGCAGGCGGCACTGGGAGCTGCACGGGGGGGGGGGAAGACAACTGACACTGGCATTAGACCCTAAATGGCAGCTAGGCAACTGCATGGCCTCAGCTGTCTTATCTTTAAAATGGGATCTTGGAAGAAAACTGGTAGGCTGCTATCAGAGTAAAAGAATGCATACATCAAATGATTAGGGCAGATCCTGGTACAAATGGGAACTACTACCGCCACAATTACAACAGAAAAAGCAGTTGACAAGGTTGAATGGAGAATGATTTTTTATTTTCTCTCTCCCTCTGCCATTGAGATGCAACCTCACAGTCTGCTCTGATTCAACAAAGCTCATGGAGAACTCCAGCACATGTGACATCCAATGCCACCACAATTCACAAAGCCCCTTTCAACTACTTCATTCACAGGGCAATGGGTTCCTAAGCTGGTGACTGAGCGGGAGAGGAGAACCCAACTCCAAAGGTTTGAAAAATTGGGCATTATGGATCGACTCCCGTGTACCCATGTGCACACACACATGTTATCATTTATGATGTTACTTACCAATGATAAATGTGCTGGGTATTATATGAGGAAGTTCAAATTCATCTTTCCTAATCCACACAACCACCATACAAGGGAGTTATTATCCCCATTTTATGGAGGACACAGGCCCAGAGAGCTTATATCACGTACCTCATGCCACAGAACGAAGTAAATGACAAACCTAGAATGTGACTGCAAAGTTCCTTCCTCTGTGTCATACAGACTTCGCAACACTGAACCTAAAATCCCCAGGCCCTCCTCGTACACGAGGTTTTTCTTGGAGATAGGGGATTTAAGGTCAAGGAGTAGGGAGGGAGGGAGCGATTGGCAACTTTTCTATATGAATTTCTGGTGTGTAATATATCCTGTGACAGGTACAAAAGGGTATTTTATGAATCTAGAGGAAAGACACCTGGCTCAGACTGAGATGACCAGGATGGTCATCTCTGGGGTAGCTGGGGAAGAGGGAGTAAACTTATAGGATGGCTTTCCTGGAAACCAGGCTGGGGAAACAAGTAGTGGGAAGAAATGAGAAAGGAGAGGTGTGCTTTCAATTTAGTACTAAGGATTTTAGGCTTTTATCCTGAAAGCAATGGACAGGCAATGAAGGTTTTAAACATTAGATGTGCACTTTAAAACTGTTCAAACATTTAAAAATAAGAAAGGGCACAATTTCCTCATTACCATTCGACAAATAAAATCCTTCAAGCAAAAATCATTCCCCAGAATATAAAATGTCCTCCTTACTACAGATCTCAGCAGTAATATATCTTGGGATCCTGTAAAACAGACTTGAATATTAGCAGCACAGTTTGGGAACTATTCTTCTGGAAGACTTTTGTATTTGACAATAGCCAAAGAAAGAACTATACACACCACTGCAGTGAAAGTGGAGTTGTCTTTTTTTCTTTCTTCTTCTCTCTTTTAAAAAAAGGTATCTGCTGTGCACATTCAGCTTCTCTTCGCTTCCAGGAGCAAGGAAATGCCCTACAATATTTTTTTTTCACTTAAACTGTAAACCATTAGTTTAGCTGCCAGCTACACAAATGCTTAAACTTCCCAGTGTGCCTGGCTTTGCTACCCAAGTTTTTTCCAGTGTACACTGAAATGAATGTGTTTCTAATTAAGTAGCTTCAGGAAAACGACAGCTTCAATGTCAAAAATACAAAGTCTGAACCCTGGCAGGAAGTCTTAAGACTACAAATGTCTCATCTAGTGGAACCTTGCCTAATATAATGAAAGGAAGCAGGAAGAGTGCGGAATTAAAAAAAAAATGGACACTTATGAATGTGTCAAGAAGCACAGCTTAACACACAGGAGGGAGAAAAACTCAAATTCATAGCGTTTAACCAAATCTTAGCAACTTTTCCAGTCCCTATGTTCAATCATGCAATTGACCAATGACCCTGAGTTTTAATTAGCATTTCAGAACTAAAATTCAAAAAAAAAAAAAAAAAAAAAAAAAGAAGAACTAACGCATGGAAAAAGGTATTTCAACAATTGTGAGAAAATACCTACTGCAAAAGCCCCTGTACAATTCAATACAAACACAGGCCCTCATCTGAAAAAGAAATATTTCCTAGAATTTTAAATACGAGGTTTTAATTCCATGCCCTTTTGTCCTGCAATAAAAATCAACGACATCCTGAAAGAGAGGAAGAGCGGTCGTACAGAAATGACTGTAAGAAGGGACAAAGTGGCGCTCACTCTTCAGCATCATTGGGTAGGCCTTTTCTGATGCCCAATAATTTTCCAAAGAGTAATTGTGGCCTATCATAGAAATGTAGTTTCTAGCCAAGTATTGTTAGGGCTGCTACAGCTCTGTATTTAGAAAATATTTAAAACACATTTATTCTGAAATCACAGTAGCTCCATGTTTTATATGAATGCAAATTTAGACAAATACCTTTTACGCCGTTGTTATTTGCTTACAAAGCCTCAAATACTTCCCTGAATCTATTGCATTTCTGCTGCACATATATACTAATTACAAATTCCAAGTGGGAAGAAGGGGGAAAAAGAAACCTGGAATTTCCTTAACATCTCAATATAGCAAATATGTAACTGGGTAATTCTAGGTGTGTTCTGAAAACAATTTCTATTCTCATTATACAATACCTCAATAGTCATGACTGCTACCGCCTCATTTTCTTTCAAAACCTGTTTTCTATGGCTTTTTATTGTAAAGAGAAAATTTTCTGCGAAAAGAAATCATTCACCCATGACAATGTCATCTTAATACAACTACTTTTATTTTTGTATTGTTCTCCTCCAATATTGGCTGACATTAACAAACATTTTTCCTCTTAATAATACTCTTTACTATAAAAATTTTTTTACTGTTATTGAAATACATTTGTCTCCATTTTCCCCCCATCACTCCCCTCCACCTGCCAGCCATCCCCACCTCCCCTCCTCGATCCTACCCTCCTTTGGCTTTGTCCACACGTCCTTTATACATGTTCCTTGACAATCTTTTCCCCTTTCCGCCCATTATTCCTTCCTACCTCTCCTTTGGTTACTGTCAGTTTTTAACAATCATTTTATATCTTTGAAATTATAGGGTGCATATATTTTACTGTCTTCTCCTTGGCTTCAGTGACATTTCTAATGTGTTTACTACAATCTTTGTGATTATTTTAAAAACTGTAATATTCCACAAAGTAGGATGTACCGTGATTTACTGAACACAATTCTTAGAATTAGACATTCATTTAGTTGCATCCATTCTTTTCACTGTAAGTTATACTTAGTGAAAACAAACAACTTCGTGTGCATAAACTTCCAAATATGGTATTAGTAAATCAAAGGGCAAGATTGTTACATTTTTTGTTATATCTTGGCAAAGTGCTTTCTAGAACAGCAGTAACTACCCCAAGGGAAACCTTTCAGGACTGTTGCAGGAATTCGAGATAACCGATAAAGCGCCTAGCACAGGAGCAGCGTAGGCTCAGTAAGTGACCATCACTATGTCCAGATGGGTTCTCTTTTAGCCCTGGCATGGCCTGCACCTCTGGACCCACCTCTTACCACATAAAGAATGGCTTCCTGTTCCTGCCCTGGTTCTGATGGACACCTGGCAAACCCTGGTGAGGATGGTCAAGACTCCATGATCAACATAGGGTGCTGGACCTGTATCCTCTCTACACGTGGGTTTCTCACTCCAAGCACATTCTCCTACCACCTGTCTACTTACTGAGTTCAGTAGGGTTGCTTATCACTTTCTTCAGAGGCAACCTTTACTCTTGATTTTATATACACCAAGAAGGCAAAAACTACCAGTTAAACTATGATTCATTACTTTTTTATCATATAGAATGACAAATATTGAAGAGTCCTTATCACTCTTGAACATACATTATAAGGGAAATATAAAAAAATGAATTGGTTAAGCTATTCCTAAAAATGCTCTTCACATTCAGAGTCTGACTCACTTGAATCATTTTCTGATGCACAGTCATCAATGTCCATGTTTTTCCAAGGTGATCTCAGTAACAAAACGTAATAAAACTTCATCTACTAGAAACTATCTTCCTTAATTGGGTTCCCAAAAGAACTTGTTTACTGCTTTTCAAGAAAATATGAATGCAGATATCTGTTTCACTAGTAGCAAAAATACAACATGGTTCTCTGTTCTGGTATCTTTCAGCATTCACAGTGACTTTACATTTCAATGCAGAATTTGGGTGTAATTTTGCAGACATTTTAAGCGGCAATTAAACACAACATGTGCAGAACCAACAACGCACATCATTAAATTAAAGTGGCAATAATATTAATAGCTATGACCAAGTCCAAGCATAGGCATGTCTTGGCACCTGTGTCACAACTGCCCTATGGTTAGTAGCAATTGTGGGCTCCATTGTACATCTCTGGGTAGCAGAACAAAGCATATCTGCACTAGGTCTTTGTTCTCTAAGAATTATTGCACTGACTTCATCAGTCACATCCTGGAAGAACAAAAGCTATTCTTGTTCCCTTCTCCCCTGCAAAGGAAAGGGATTCTTTTGCTGGTGTCAAGGCAGTGACAATACAATGACCTTAACCTGAAAGGTATGTTCAGTTTGAATTCTCTTAAGGGGAAAAGGAACTAATATTTATTGACTTACTATAATCCAACTGCTTAATGCATTACTCAAGGCAACTCTGCAATGCAGCATTATTTTCCACATTTTCAGAATGGGAAATAGGCTCAGAAAGGTAAAGCAACTTCCCCCAGGTCACATAGCTAGTACATAGTATGGTACATGTACTGGGTTTGAAAACCCAGAGCTGTTAGACTGAAAGCACAT